GACAATCCAGGATGGAACCACGCCACTTACAACTTATGGGAATGTGATCTATTTGTGTCCATCTCTAGCCAGCTATAGGAAGACGGAAAGTGGCACTTCGGCACCCACTGTGGCTAAAATCGGTGTTACTGAGAAACAGTTAATGCTCTACATAGAGCTGCAACAGACGCTTGCCGTCGTCTGTCCGATCGGAGTTAAGGCCATACCACAACTGAGATTCTGAAGAGCTCAGATTACCCACTTCCACTTTCATATCCCGTGCAACGACGACTATAAGTTAATTGGCGGCCCTGCGAAGCAGCGTGTTCAGATCGTAGTAGTTGTCCTTTGCAGTATCAGAAGTGCAATCAGTGGAGCATAAGCGAGATGCGCCTACATCTACGTCAATTACTACTTTGTGAAGCAGGCTTAGTTTAAATCGTAAAACTGGCTACAGCAAAACCGCCTGGAATCAAATCATCCATCATTGACTCTATCTCGGAGCTGCGAACGATGCTCACTCCAGCTTGATTTCGTGACTGCAGCAGCAGCAGTTTCGGCTGCGCGCAATCACCAGCAAGAGAACAAGCCGGGTGCCGTTAATTCAACCACTCCGTCAGAGTCATTGATTTTAGTTGCGGACGCACAACACACGTCAATACCCAGTATGCCCAACTTGTGTGCGACTGCAGCCTGTTGGTCTGTTTGTCTTAAAGTGCGAACATTGAACGCCGCCAGGGAAACGGGACATCGCGGCTCCACAAGGAACTGTTGCCGATAGCCGTCCAGTGCGGATTGCGTGTGGGTAGCTGCAGCCGACATGGCTCCAGTGGCATTGCTGCTACAGCCAGTTTGTATGGGAATTATGGAAAGAAGTTTAGTGATGGGGGTTTGGAGGGGAGGGAGAGAAACAGCTGGAAAAGAAAGAAGAGTGGTACCACGCTAGCATATTGTTGCTTATCCACTCTTCGATATGCTGCAGATAAGGCGACCCTTGATAATATGTACGACGGCTAATGCAGGTCGTTGTACGTGGGCCGAGATACGGTGGACGATCATGGTCTTCAACCAAAGCCTTCGGCTCAAAAGTTCATCCGCAAGAAGCGTAATGATATTCCATTTCCAACCTACAAACTAGAGGACCAGGAAATTGAGTTTGTCTGACTTCTGACCGTTGGCCAACCTGATGGAAGTACCATTCGAGGTCCACGGGGGTACCCGCAAATATAGCGCAATGGGACAAAGAGGTACGCAGACGGTCGCACCACGTTACTGTCCAATCTTGTTGAGGCTCGTTCTACCTGATAGCATCATAGTTACACGTAACAGGGATCACGTTCTTCGTCTCTCTGGTTAAATATTGCTGTATGATGTTTTCTCAACTTATGTTACTGAGTTGGCCGAGGTGTAGAACGCGCCAATATCTGTGCAACCGGTGGCTCAGCAATGTAGCCGCTCTATTCGGCTTCACCAGTATATCGATCGTTAGCAGACTGGCTGGAATGGTACCAACTACAGTCAAGACAATTCAAGAATGCGCTTTTATGCACCTATGCAGAGAAATATGGCACTCTCTTGGCCGATGCTGTTGTGTCCTGTCTATTTGCTGTCCACCTGTGTTAAGCGGGTGTCCGCCCCCAATCAAACACTCGTTGAATGCTCTAATAAAATATGCATAGCCCATGCACTGTGTAGAAGTGCCAGGTAGAAAATAGTTCCCCCAGTTGGCTTGATGATTTGATCTGCGCCACTTCCTCTAGGATTCAACTCATGTTAGTTTCCCACCTGCTAGAATGCAGCAAATACTCGGTGTAGGGAGTACTCATGACGGTCTGCATCGACGGTCCGCTTGTATGTTAGCCAACCATCGAAACCCTATAAAACTGCTCTGTATTTTCTACAATATGCTGTTCGCAGCGCTGAGAAATGCAAGGATGTAATACTAGGCGTAAAGTATATGGGGTTATTACATCGACACGCTTTTAGGAAGTTGCTGTTGGTGGTTTCATTGGTTGCCTTTCTAGATTGCAAATACCCCAATTTAGCCCAGCTACAAGTGCTGGCCACTTTCTAAGCCAAACTGTGCAAATTTAGATGAGTAGCAAGGGAACAAACTATCACTGGACTTACTGTAGACCCTGAACCAACCCAGCAGCAGCGAAAAAATGAAGCTAGATTAACGATTCGCTCCCTAGTACTGCATATTTTGATGTGTTAAACCTTACCAAAGAAACTGCCCAAATACTTTCTTTTGCATTAATCAACTCACACTTATAGTTTTATACCGGCAAATGAGGTAAGAATTGTAGTTTGTAACCTTCTTAACGTGTTATGCGCACACAAAGTCACAATGCTTGGATAGCTTTCACTCTGTGGTAGTGTGCATTGTTGAGTGGACGCTGAAGAGTGCTCCTGTTCTGGTTAAGTGGATCCAAACTGCATTCACTTGGCTTGCCATGATTTGCGTTCCACTTCAGTAGGGCTTTTTCATTTGTGCCATGTGGTCCACATAGAAAGTCTCACATGCATGCGCAAATATGCAGCGGGAGCGAAGTGAGCTGTGGTTTGAAATTCTCCTGGATGTTGCAAACTTGAGTCAGGTGGAACTTGACAGAAAGACTGAATCAGATGATAGAAACAGGAGTAGGGTAACTACTGACTTGGTTACTCGTAAGGGAAAATTTTATTCAAAGCAACGAACGGTTCAAAAATACTTGGTATGCGCTACAGATACAAAACCGTCTTGAAGTTTTGTATGCAAGTAGCGCGGTCACAGCGCATACGGAAGCCTCTTGGCGTTCATCACGTTTACTTAGCCAACCTATGCTAATGCAACTCTTTGGTACCGCTCGCTTACAGCTTTGGGCTACCCAAGTGGTGGGTTCATGGGACACTGAATGATTTCCAGTATGTCAAGGTGGATAGATACGTACCGAATGGCAATGACACTCGCTTTCTTCAGTTGTTTGTTGGTCAAGTCTTTAATACGGTAGGCAATGCATCCCAACCGCATCATTCATATTGTGTCAACTGGCCTCCACCTGACTGCACGCTAACTTGAGAGTAAAGTAAGCTGTCTCTCTCTCTCTCTCTCTCTCTATATATATATATATATATATATATATATATATATATATGAGCAAATCCAATTGTCCCCGAGAAACGCAGGGATTACGAGAAGCGTTAACTTGAGTCGCCTCAATCATGATGTGTGCCTTTGTAAAATCTTCTCAACCAAACTTTTGGCGTCCGAAGTGTGGATAGGTTTCCGATGCTTCGAGGTATTTGGCTGGAACAGGAAACTGGTTCCACGGGGTATTCAGGCTCAACCATTTGGTACCGCCCTGAAACGACCTCTGACACTTAGCCATGGTATAGACCGTGAGTGTTTGGGATTGACCAGTGCAGGTGGGATGGAGCAAGTCAGTGAACTTTGGAACAACTGACTACTGCTCCTAATAAGGTATTGTGTATTGAAAACAACAGATAATGTCCCAGATAGCGCTAGCACGATCAATGTTGTCTTGGACAGCATTCAACGGGTGTCGGGTTTCTAGAAGGGCAAGAATTGGCAGACCAAAAGCACCATGTAGTTGGCGAACTAATAACAAAATGGGCGTAAAGGCTCTTCTTTCGAGGTGATTATCTGTATGTGAGGCAGTACAATTTGGAGTTTATTTGTTTTACAATAGTTAGCCAATAGGAATTTCTTAAGAGCATCATAAAAATAATTGTTTTGAAGCTGATGTGGAAATAAGCTTTGTTTCTTGGTCGCGGTTTGATCGCGACCTGTCGCTCATCCCGTGAGTAATACCTATTAGATCAAGTTCAAATTCAAGTTCAAGTGGGACTGGAACGATAGGATGAATCCCGTAAGTGTTCCTTCTTGAGCTAGGAGTTGATAGTGGTGCTCCGACTTCTTGATGGGTCTAAAATCAAAACACCCGAAAAAACACCCTGATCCACCAATTTAATGCTCACGTTCCTTACATTAGCCGTTCCTGCAATATCAGTTACGTGAAGTAAGCAAGAGAGGAAGAAAATCGCTAAAGATTAAGGCAAATCAGCTAAACGAAGAGAATAATATCAATGGTGAGGGTAAGTAAAGAAAATAGAATCGAAGTATGAAGACGGGAATCAGTTGGGAAAAAGGAAAGGTTTCGTGTTGCCACCCAAGAGCATCTAGTTGACGCTCAAACCCCTTAACCGTAGCTTCCTTGACAACATTTTCTGGAAGCAAGTTCCAGCACTCAGTGACTCGACGCGATAACCGTGTCTCCGCTCTAACTCGATCGGACCGCGGTTTGTCCAGCTTCAAATAATGTCCGCGGAGAACAGATAATCCAGCAGGACTAAATAGCCAGGACAAATCAGGTCCAACCTTCCCAGAGAACAAACATATCCATGAACACTGGTTTAATCAATTCACTGACGTTAAGCCTTACATCGTCATGCCAGAAAATATTAGTCACATATTTGCATTTTTAACTTCTCTTGTTCAGTGCGCCAAGCCAAGTTGAGATCAATGTCTCGAGAATATCATCTTCGTTGCAAAAGCTTCAGCAAATCTTAGGTTTCCGAGTGACCTTGAAAAACTGGCTAGGATTGTGAGAATATCAAAAGCAACCCCACAATAAGTGCCAAACGTCTGCTCTTGGGTCCGCTGATTAGATGGCTATTTCTTTTGCTTGGCTTTGCCTGTTTAGTGAGGCCAGCAGGAACTCGACTAATCTTCCAACCTACCTGGATTGCCATTGGCTCCCAATAATTTTGTTTTATTGGTTGACTGACGTGTGAAACCATCCCACCCAATCATGGATACAAAGCCGGCGAGTTAAAGCACGCATACTGTGATCGACATACTCGTTTTCAATTCAGTATTGTCCTAGCACTTCGGTAGCGTTACTGAAAGGTTCATCACGGCTTTGAATAAATTGTAAATACATCTTGGATTTTCTGCGAGTAGCCAGCCCCATTCCACTCCGATGTCGAGCAAAAGCAGAAGTTCTACCCCAACCTCAATGAATGAGCCCAACCAAACGAGGTTCGATGTGCGAGTGGATAAACGTACGCAGCAACTGCTTTATTACGAATGCGAAGTACTTCTCATGAGCCAAACATTTGTGAAGAAATCAGAAGAATTCAACAATCATCGCGCAGATTCGTTGTTTGGGAAAAGTTTCAAAAAGCGACCCATTCGATGCACGGCGCGTCTGTTGATCGATCGGATAATGTTTGAGAGAAAAAATAAGCTGGGTCCTAAACCATTCAGGAAAATGATCACTTACAGGGAGATTAAGTACTTTTTCTCATCCAAAGAAAATCCCGAATTTTTTATGTTCTGTTTGTTGGACGAAAAAACACAACGAAGGAGTTACGAAATATTCCACTGTGAGGAACTGGTCAATGTGCACACTATATGCGCTTTCGTGTACAATGCCGTGGAAGATCCACAGTTCATCGTTCGTGAGCAACCGTCTTTCCATGATACTTCTCTATTCGTTGATTCACTGGAAGCTGGCAACCCAAACGTATCCAGTGACCGAACAGAATCACCATTTACAGAGAGGCAAAATTTGAAAGTGCTAAAGAGAACCGAATCGGTAAGGTCGCGCAGTTCAGGAGGCGGACTATTTCGTAGGGATACAAAATCCGGTAATGAAAACACCCGAGAGCTATCGAATCGCGGTTCAACATCCTCTGAACATGAGGAAAATGAACACAAATACCGAAAGCCTAGAGTACAAAGTTCAAACGACCGTAATGTGTCCTTCAAGATACATTCAAATAGACGTGCCAATGAAAAATCTGTCGATGTTTATAGATTTTATGACAACCAAGTTGGTTCTCCAGATACAAATTATATCCTAAAGCATACCTCCGGCGGGCACGTATGTCATGCGAGAGTTTCAAGAGCCCACCAGCGTCATGATGTCTCATTGCAGTGCGACATGTCAAACCAAACAACAGCCACCAGTCCAGTGTTGCGTTCTCGGTCTACAGATAATCGCAGCAAGAAAGAGGACAGCAAACGAAGAGATGTTGACAGGCAAATTGGGCGACGAACATCCTCCTGTGATGCATCAGGGCAATTCAATTACAGAGTCCAAAGCCATTATCATCCTCCAAAACCATGGAAAATGAATCCTTGGAACACAAATGGAATCATTCGGCTTCCTTCAGATATTGCTGGTTCTAGTAATGTTGTTGCCTCCAGACGTAAACCAACTGAGTCTGAGCGTTACTTAACGTATGCAACCTCGAGTAACTTGTACCATTCGGGATATGCAAAATCCGAGATCAATGGCCAACATCGACTTGGATCTTCTGTTTCATCGTTGACATCATTTTAGGATAATTAGTCCAGAATTCCGTGAAACTTTATTCGGCGATCTACGCCAGTTTGACAACGTCGCAGACTGAACTTTCTGAAATTATTGCACCACTTCCTATGATGACTCAAAACCCGGAGAACAATCAACAACATATTTTGGTAAATTAATATTTATAATAGTGTACCCGGTGTATTTTATGTAAGTGAAGGACGGAATCTTATGTAGAAGCAAATGTAGTGTTTGCCGATGTAGCAAAAAATTCCCACCTTTTCTAATTGGCTGTTCCATGTAAAGTCGATTGTCCAACCATTTTAGACCTCATTGGACTGGGCAATTTGAGGTAGCATTTGCCTAGCCATTTGCTCATTGAGTCAGTCGATCCTACGTTGATGACAGGCTTATGCTTGGGAAGCAAGCGTGACTGTAACAATTTGTTTGTTATTAGAATTTCGTTTAGTGTATTCTCAAGCTATTAGATACGTTTGTATCGTAACTCTAAATGCAACTGCCTTGTCAACGTAGTTTCTTAGTACATGCAATGCGTTGTGCTCTCTGAACGCATCTTCCTACTAGAGGATCGCTTCAATGAGGTAAAAATGAAATGTCAAAATATCCTTCGGTTTTGAACAAGACGGAACCGATTACATGCTTCATTCTTGATGTCTACTCCTCACTTGAACACTGAACAATGGTTTTCTACGGGTTAAGATCCGTTGTTTTACAAGCCCCTTTGAGTAGTCTGGTGGGTTATCGAAAAGCGTTAATGAAAAAAGGCACTTAGTAGTTCTACTGTCGAAAGTATGGACTTATCGTATGTAATGAACAATGAATGCTGAATTTATACTTGTTAAGAAACGTTGCTTTACAAGTCCCGTTGGATAGTTGGTGGGGATGTCAACATAACAATAATGATGATAAGGATAGTAAAATAATTAATCATTTAAATATGAAAATGAGGACTTATCGTTTGCCTCGCTGTACTCCTGCGACCCTCTTATATACACATCATCCGCAGATAAAAACAAATAATTCCATGGTAAACGCCAAGTGTAGGATGGAGACTTAGCGTTAAGTGAAAAAGTGTAATTGGATGAGTGCATCGTCCAACCGTCTTTTAAATACTGTTAGTACCGGTGCAGAGACGACCGATTCCGGGAGAGCATTGCACGGGTGACAGACACGAATGGAAAAGAAATTTCTGCGGCACTCCAGACGGCTATACGGTACAGCGAGTTTCATTGAGTGGCCCCTTAGGTTTGCACTGCTGAAGAGTTGCAGTAAAGGGCGGCACACATGATGTGGGTCTCGCAGAATCAAGTATGCCATAATCAGATCTCTTCGTAGTCTGCGATAGCTTCCACTGAACAATACCAGTCTATGCAGCCTCTCCTGGTAGGAAAGATTGCGCATTCCAATTAAGTTCTTAGATGCCCGGCGTTGTGGCTGCTCCAGTGTATTAAGATCGTGTTTCAGCCATGGATGCCAGGCTTGAATTGCGTATTCGACATAGGGGCCAACATACGCACTAAGCATTTGTCGAAATATGGAGCTGTTTATTTGTCCAAACGCCCATCGCAATAGCCTGACGTGTTGGTTCCCGGTCTTCGAGACCTTTTCGGATTGCCTGAAGTAACCCAGATCATCTTGAACCAAGATACCCAAGTCACGTTCGAGAGTTGATTGTTGTAGTATATTCGTTCCGAGTCGGTATGAGTAGCTGCTCTGACGTCGGATGGAAAGCACCTTGCATTTACTGGCGTTGAAAGGCAATGAGTTTTGGGTCGACCATTGATACACCGTATCTAAATCACTCTGAAGCACATGTTGGTCGGCGTTCGCCTGGATCCTGCGCCAGATCTTGATATCGTCGGCAAACATTAGGAAGTTTGAAGCGATTCCCTGTGCAAGGTCATTAATAAACATCAAAAACAAACGTGGACCTAGAACTGAGCCGTGCGGCACACCACACTCAACTTGTATGGGTTTCGATAAAGAGCTCTGAACTCTGATCACTAATTGCCGTTGAAGTAGACAGTTAGCAATCCAGCTTAGAAGAGGGTCGCCGATCCCGTAATACTACAGCTTGGATAGGAGTATCCGATGGTCTAGACGATGGAAAGCCTTGGAAAAATGCAGGTAGATCACGTCAACACCTTCTCCAGCGTCAGCTGCTTCGGTCCAACTACTGCGTGCAATTAGTAAATTCGTTGTACATGACCGCTGTCGACGGAAACCGTGCTGTTCAAGAGTGATGAGGTTGCAGTTTTCCAAATAGCACATCAGTGGATCGGCAACTATGGATTCCAGGACCTTGGAGAGTATAGGAAGAAGGGATACTGGGCGGTAGTTGGAGGGATCAGTTCTGTTTCCGCCCTTGTGAATCGGGCTTATTATTCCAAGCTTCCACATGGCGGGAACTTGCTTCTGGTCTAGACGGCGCTGGAAAAACTAAGCTAAAGGTCCTGTCAGTTGGCTTGCTGCTGCTTCCAGTGCCTCTGGACTAGTGGTGTTGACACCCGGCGAGCTGTGTTTGCGTAGAGACGTCAGCTTTTTCAATACAGCCCCAGTGGCAAGAGTGATGCGGGTTAGTCCTGGCAAGGAGAAGACAAAGCTTGGTAGATTGCTTGGTGGCAGATCTGTTGGTGGCAAGAACCTATGAAACGTGGGGGCGTATTGTATCTGCAGTGCGTTCGTTGCTTCCACAGCCGTTCTTGTTGTGTCATCATCCGTCCTGAGTGGAGGAAATCCTTGCCTTACCTTTCCTAGGCTATTAACGTGCTTGTACAGCAGTTTGTGGTTTGCACTGAAAGTTTTTGCGATGTTCTGCTGATTGGCGGCTTTGTCTTCTCATAACAGTTGAGTGCAGTGGTTACTTTGGGCTACGTGGTTGTCCCAAGTTTTTGGTGCTGGAGCTTCTCTGTACACTGACTATGCTGCGTTGCGTACTGTCATCTATTTTTGAGTTCTGTTCTTAACCAAAGAAAATGATTTACACTTATAGCAAAATTTCATCTCTGAAGCCTCTGCAAGCAGATGACTGAATTTTTGACGAACTCGAGCCAGGCGACTTCCGGGGTTTCTTCTTCGAGGAACGACCAAGGTGTGGCGCTGACGAGCTGGGCCAATCGATCGTAGCATGTGATGGTTCGCACAGTCTCATCATTCTCATTCAGATATTCTGCATATCAGACGAAGTTGAAACTGATCACGGCGTGATCACTGCGACCCAAGGGGCAGTCTAAAATGAACACATCAATCATATGCTCCTTGTTGGTAAACACAAGATCCAGCACAGACGGCCTGTTACCTGTTCTGAACCGAGTGGGCAAAGTGATGTGATTGTAAAGAGGAATAGCAGTTACTAGATTTTGTAGCTCGGCTTTGAATTGTTCTCTGATTGTGGCGTGAGTTTATAAACAATGTACGTTGAAATCACCCATGATAAGAATGTGAGTGTACTTTTGTTGTAAACTGCATCTTGAAGCAGCCGCTAGGTGGTAGTCGGTTTCGGGTGTTGAGTTAGGGGCGCAGTACACGAAGACAATAAGGCAAGCGTCCCTGCCTTTTAATTGCAAGCAACACCAAAGTGAGTCGAGGAACGGCGAGTCTGAAGCCTCCACGGATTCGCACTGTAAGTCGTTTCGGTAATACAGGATTACCCCTCCTCCTTTTGTGAGTCGGTCGTTCCGGATCAGCGACATGCCGGGTAGCGAAACTTCAGCTTCCGTCATTCCCGTGTGCAACCACGTCTCGGAGATACCAATGACATCATATGACCCGGAAGCTTGGCGATCTTTCAGTTCGGCCAGTTTGTTGGAAAGACCCTGAGCATTCGTATACAAACAGGCCAGTTTCTCGGTCTCTAGGAGCCCACAGATGGGTGAAGGGATCACGTGTGGGAGAATGCCGACCGATGGGATGTCGGCAGTTATTCGCTTTTTTGATGGGATAATGATACCTCGTTTGCAAATTGATTCTGCCAAGATGCGTCCCAGCCTTCGTTTAGACCTACGTCAGAGTCAATTAAAGCAGCAGTCAAGTTACGCTTCTGTGCATTCGTCAGTATGCCTGCTGCTTCAGTTGCTTTAATATGTGAGCTGTGCAAAGTGTTTGCAACCTTAAACCGAATTTCAGAAGGAAGATGTTTCCGATTTCTCCGCTATCGATCTAAAACATCTTTTGCTTGTTACTCTGACTGAACCACAAGTTTTAGGATGCTAGGGCCACATCCTCTATAATTTTGTGAGAGAGGTGTCCTGGTGAGCGATAGTGCCACCATATTATCCAGAGAAAGTGTTTCACGAATGAACTGCCACTGTTCTAAATCGTGCTTTCCGGTCACTTGAACATCGTTAGAAGGATGTTCTGGCATGCCATGTATGAAGATTGCGTTTAGGCGGTCTTACTTGCTGTGCCCCTCTTCGGTGTTTCTTTTTGATGGTCGCACGCTCCAAGGGACATCAGGATAGATACGGGCTGTAGCCATGCACTCTGATTGTTTCTATTGCTTTAATAGGCGGTTAAGTTAAATGGAAGCTATTTCTGGGGATTAGAATGGAGAGTAGTGCCGAGTATTAAAATGCAAGTGGCGGAGTGTGTCATTCAACCGACTTTTAAATAGGTTAGCGCGGGGGCAGAAACAACCGATTCGTAGGAAGTCGTTCCGTGGTTGACAAACAGGAATGGAAAAGAAATTTCTGCAGCACGCCAGACGGCTGTACTGTTCTGCTAATTTCAAATTGTTGCCTCTGAGCTTGATGTTACTGCTGAACTGCACTAATGTGCAGCACACATAATTTGGATTGTATAAATTCAAGTAGGCCATAATCAAGTCTCCTCGTATTCAACGATACCGCCCGCGGAATACTCCCCAACGTTTCAGCCTCTGTTCGTATGATAGGTGGCGCATTCCAATGGTGTATTTAGAAGCTCAACCTTGTGGTTGCTCCAGTGCAGTAAGGTCGTGCTTCAGCCATGGGTGCCAGGCTTTAGATTGCGTATTCGGCATGAGGGCGAAC